ACCCGACATTCCGAAATTCAAGAAGAAGATATTGGAAGAAGCTCATAGCTCGAGGTTTGCGGTCCACCCTGGCAATACGAAAATGTATCATGATCTGAAAGAACATTACTGGTGGACAGAAATGAAAAGAGACATAGCAAGTCATGTCTCCAAATGCCTACATTGTCAGTGTGTTAAAACAGAACATTAGAGACTTGCAGAACTGCTGTAACCACTCCCTATACCTGAGTGGAAATGGGAACACATCACTATGGACTTCATAGTCGGGCTACCACACTCAGTTTCGAAAAATGATGCAATATGGGTTATAGTAGATCGATTGATGAAGTCGGCGCATTTTCTGCCAATCAAAATCACATACTCCCTTGATAAGTTTGCCACTTTATACATCAAAGAAATCATTTAGTTACATGGTACTCTAGTTTCAATCGTATCTGACCGAGACCCTCGATTTGTGTCTCACTTCTGGAATAAATTGCAAGAGACTTTGAGGACTACATTGAAGTTTAGCACTACTTATCGTCCACAAACTGATGGGCAATCCTTTGGAAGACATGCTATGTGTGTGCGTATTGGACCTCAAGGGTAATTGGGATGAACACCTACCTTTAAAGGAATTCGCTTATAACAACAATTACCAAGCAAGCATTGGAATGGCACCGTACGAAGCACTGTATGGAAGGAGGTGTCGATCACCTCTATATTGGACAGAAGTCGGAGATAGGAGGTTATTAGGCCCTGAGATCGTACAGATAACGAATGATAAAATTCAACTCATCCAGCAGCGAATTCGCACTGCCTAGGGTGCCAGGAAAGTTATACAGATACACGGAAACGGGACTTGGAATTCCAAGTAGGGGTCATGTGTTTCTCAAGATCTAACCAAGAGGAGTCATCCTATTTGGAAAGCGAGGAAAGTTAAACCCACGTTACATCGGACCATCCAAGATACTAAAAATGATTGGTCCTGTTGTATATCACCTTGCACTGCCACCTAAACTGTCCAATGTCCACAATGTGTTCCACGTTTTGATGCTCCGACGGTACCTCCAAGATCCAGAACATGTCGTCGACTATGAGAACTTGGAAGTTCAAGAGGACCTCTCTTATGAAGAGCAACCAGTACAGATTCTCAATCATCGTGATCAAGTTCTCTGAAACAAGACTATACCTCTTGTAAAAGTCTTGTGGAGAAATAATCAAGCCGAAGAAGCTACGTGCAAAACGGAGAATCAAATGCGAGCCAAATACCCACACCTCTTCGAAAACTAAGGTACATCAAGTTTAGGGGCAAACTTTTATTTATGAGGAGAGAAATGTAACACCCTGAATGTTTAATTAAATACCACATAAATATTTATAGCTATGTATATCTATAAATATAACTATGGTTGTATGTGATAATATCTTATTAAAACAATAAATAACTAAATACATAAATAAGTAAATAAATAAATAGTATATAATTATTTGAAAAATTGGACCAAAGTAAAATGACACCAAAAGTTAAATAAATAAAAAGTGATATAAAGCTAAGTAAAGCAAAAAACTATTTAAGATAAATATTAGTCTTAGTGGATACAAGTATGTAATGACCCTCACTCTACTCTAGTCATGCTTGCATATGTTACATGACCTTGTCTTGATATGTTGCATTTTGCAAACCTTGATTTGATTTGCTTAAGAGTTTCTTCCATGGTTTGTACCCTGCTTGGTGTGAGTTTAGCCGATGTCATCTTTAGTCTAGAACTTCCTTGGAACCACTTTGTTGAACCTCCACATTCGCTCTGACATATTGGCCGAGATGTCATTATTTAAGCCGAGGTGTTCATCACCAAGGCCGAAATGTGTATTATCTGGGCCGAGATGTCACCTTTGCACCTAAGTGATCTTGTCCTGGAGTAGTGTAACCTAGACCAAGGTGTGGCACATCTAGGCCAAGGTGTGGCACAGCTTAGTCAAGTGTTGTCCTTCCTAGCCGAGATCATTATTCCTCACTTTCCGATGTCTTGTTCTTAACCGAGATCATTACCCACCAGAGTGCCCATGCCATCTTGCTTGTAGAACACACTTTATCATAGTCTTGTCTTTTCACTCAGCCACCTTTTGAGGAGAACCAACCCGGTAGTGCCACGTGTCCCAACTGAGTGTTAAGTCAGCCGACAGACCCAGAAAATATACATTTTTGTATTACAGTCTTTGCTGTAGAGAGAGAAGCTCTAGAAGAAGAAGAAGAAGTTTTAGAGTGAGAGAGTGGGCTTTCGAGCTTGATTCCTAGAAATCAAACCGTTAGATTCGTGTATTGAGGTTAGATTCTTGATTTACTCTTGTTGTTCCTTATGTTTACCTAGCTGCATTGCACGATCGAACCTGTTTTGCATGGCATGCATTGGTTTAAAGTTGGTTTTAGAAAGAGAAGATAGTGTTCATGTGTTTTTGAAGAAAAAGCCTCGTTTGATCCGAAAGTTTGCATTAAGGCTCATGTTCCTGTGTGTGTTTTGATAAGATCCTTGAGTGTGGGTACCCAGGTCCATGTTTTTGAATTCATAGCATGAAATCTCAGCTTTTGTAATAGCAAGTTTTGATCTTTGCATTTATCTTCCTCATGTCCATGTTCTTCATGTTCTTCAAAGGAGGAAATCCAGATTTTCCCGACCTCATTTCCTTGAATGTGGCCATCGAGGCAACACCTCGGCAAGGAGGTGTGGGACCTCGGCCTAGACCTGGTAATCGCCCAACATGTTTCCCGAGATGGGAAACAGTGTTTTGTTTTGGATCGTCTAGTTTTGAAAGAAGTCGAGGTCACTTGCATTCATGTAAAGCTTGTTTGATAGTGCATTCAATGGGATTTGGTATGTGTTCGTAGGACTTGGACTTGCCTTGACCCCGACGTCTGAAGAGCTATGTGAGTGGTATTTTTAATAAAGTTATGTTATTAAGTTTTGATAAAGTTTCGCCCTGCTTGTTTTGGAAAAGTATTTTGTGAAGCATGATGATGATCCCTATTTTTGTATACCAAGTACTAGCCTTGTTTTGAATGAGAATCTTGAAAAGTCGTACGTGCTAGGGGACTATAAGCATTTGTAGCACAATCTTGAAAGTCCGTACGTGCAGGGGACTATAAGCATTTGTAGCACAATCTTGGAAGTCCGTACTGCTAGGGGACTATAAGCATTTGTAGCACAATCTTGAAAAGTCCGTACGTGCTAGGGGACTATAAGCATTTGTAGCACAACCTTTGTTAATATCATCCCTTGGAACTTGAAAGCCTTGAAAGACTTTAATTGTCGAGACTTGAAAGATTTGTTAGATAAACTTGATTTGCCCTTGGATTTTGTACAAGATGTGTTATGCTTTGATTTGATAAAGGTTTCGGCAGGATATCATTCATGTAAATCCCTTTATTATTTGTACCATTCACTGAGTATCCAAGTTCACCCGTGCAAAATCCAAAACAAGTGACGAGCAGGACGGCGGTGACGCCTAGATGTACTTGCTACTTGTTTTGGATTTTGCACTTTTGCAGCATCTTGAAGATTATGCTTCTTAGTTGTATTTCATTGTATTTTGTATTTGATGGCTGAGAAGCCTTTTGGTCAAGATGTACTTTTGTACTTCATTGTTGTATTAAAGCTATGGAAAGATGTATGCCATTCCTTTTAACTTATGCACAGCTCTTATGGACTAATTAACTTTGTATATATTGCTTCCGCACATGTTAGCCCCATATGTAATACTCTGATTGTGTGTGAAATTTGAAAGTTGGCCTTCGGTAATCTCGAATTACTGGCCATCATGGCACCATTCTACTAGGGGCAGAATGGGGTCGTGACAAAATATTTGAGATCAGGGATAAGAATTTAAGAACAACGTGTCTTAGCAGGGCAATAACACCTAGCACACCTAGTAAATAAGGGACGTGAGTCATTAGGGAGGGTAATAATGAAATAGGGTGAATCACTACTACCTTCGGGTATATAAGGTGTGCATGGTTAACCATCGGAGCAACAAAGGAAGAAGAAGAAAAAAAAACATAAATGTAACATAGGTGCCGCAGACAGTTAAGGAGAAAGAAATCAAGAGTAAAAACCTAAAAGTTAAGGATCAATATTAAGATGAGTTATATTACACCTTGAATCACCATAATATATTTTACGTATGTTTTGAATTATCATAATTTATTTTATATAAGTTATGTTTTATAACTTATATTTATATTGCAATTACGTTAATTATTTTCTAAACTCTATTTGTTTATATTGAAACCCGTGGATATATCTGTTTAAATTTTAGAAATTATTTGACAATAATTTTGTAAACAATTATTTTTTATAAATACCACCACGGGAGTCCCATGCCTTGAGGGACTTAAATAACCATTGGTCTCTGTTTGACCACTTTGTGGTCCTCTGTTATGATTGTCACTCATGTGACCTCTGTTTTGTTACGTTCTATTCCGTGGTTATGGTTATTTATTTACATAATTTTCGTATTTCAATTTCTGTCAATTTGAATAATTTGTTTATTCAAATGAAGTTATGTAAATGTTTTAACTTAACTAACTGTCCATGTTTATTTTGTATTCTTTATACTCTTGGCATAATATATTCTCACTCTGCTGTGTGCTTATAATTATTACCCATTCAGGTAACGAGATATAAAGAAGACCCGTAACCTCATGTAGTGGAACCTGTACAAGAATTTGATGATGATTCGTTATTTTGTTTTCCATTCCTTTTCTTCCTTTTGTTTTTTTTATTGAGAGCCGGTCACTGAATAAAATAAATAAATAAAAGTCCTATAGATGTACTTTCTTTTATCAAAATAGTCGAATGAATTTAATTTTCTGTTTAATTATTTTCTTATTTCCATTTTGCCTCCGCCTACACCACTTAATTTGTTACGATTAGAAATTATTTAGTAAGTTGCAATTTCAGTCATAAGCCTCTGGGGTTGGGTCATGACATAAAGAGGATAAAAATACAAGGTATTTTCACATTATGGCTTGTAGTAGGAATAGTAGGAACTCTCTGTGCTCCATTGTTGTGAATGGCTCAATGACCGAGGAGCCTATTGAAATAAAAGCTGAGATGAAGGCTCACTTTCTACAGCATTTCTCTAAGTCTTGGAAGGACAAACCTAAATTATCTCGTCATTTCAAGAACATTGGAGGACCTCATGTTGTGGAACATTTGGAGGCAGAGTTTACTGAGAAGGAAATTAGTAATGTAATCAAGAACTGTGAAGGTAATAAGGCACCTGGACCTGATGGATTCAACATGACTTTTTTCAAGAAATGTTGGAAATTTGTGAAATGAGAGAATTTCATCATAATGCAAGTTTAGTTGGTGGGATTAATAGCTATTTCATTACTTTAATTCCTAAAACTAATAGCCCCTCTTGTTTGGATGAGTAGGCCAATCAGTCTGGCTGGTTCCTTGTATAAAATTCTAGCAAAGATGTTATCAAACAGGATGAAACAAGTGATGCCCAAGATTATTAGTGAGGTTCAATCAGCTTTTCAAGGTGGTAGGAATGTTCTGGATGGGATTCTAATAGCTAATGAAATTGTTGATGGGTGGAAAAGATCCAATAAGAAAGGTTTGGTACTTAAATTGAATTTTGAAAAGGCCTATGATTCAATTAATTGAGAGTTTCTTTTTAACATGTTGTCAAAGTTTGGCTTTGGATCTAGATGGGTGCGTTGGATGAAAGCTTGTGTATCTTCTGCTAAGATCTCTATTTTGGTTAATAGGTCACCAACATCTGAATTTTGCCCACAGAGGGGCCTTAGACAAGGAGGTCCATTGTCACTATTTTTATTCAACATTGTAGCAGAGGGACTCAATATATTGCTAAGTAGGGCTAAGGAGTGGGGTCAAATGGTCATTTGCAATTTGCGGATAACACGATTTTGTTCTGTGAGGCTAAGAGAGAGGAAGTGTGTAATATTAAAATAATTTTAAGATGTTTTGAGATTGCATCGGGGCTGAAAATAAATTATCACAAGAGTATTATCTGTGGTGTTGGGGTAGATGATGGACTATTGCATGAGTTTGCCTCTATTTTAAATTGCCTTCACCAAAAGCTGCCTATAATGTATTTAGGACTGCCATTGGAGGTCAACCCAAGTAGGATATTCTTGTCAAATTCAAGCGGAAACTGGCTGCCTAGAAGAGAATATTACTTTCTTTTGCTGGGAGATTAACCTTAATCAAGTCTATTATGTCTAATATGCATGTTTACTATTTATCATTGTTTAAGATTCCTATAAGGGTGGCTAAGGAGATTGAGAAAATGCAATCAGCTTTCTTATGGGGTGGACCAGATCTCAGAGGAAAAGTGCATTTGGTTCGTTGGCATGTGATTGCAAAGAATAAGAATCTAAGTGGTTTGAGCTTAAGGAGGATTAGAACATTGAATAAATGCATTTTCCTAAAATGGTGGTAGAGGTTTGGAGTTTAGAATGAAACCTTTTAGAAAGAAGTGATCTGCTCAAAATATAATGTTGAGAATGGAAAATGGTTTCCAAGATTAGAAGGTAGAGGATCTAAGCTTCGGATTGATATAATTAATGTAGTTCTGTTTAATCCAGACTTGCATAATTTCTATATTCATAATTCTCAAATTGCTTTGGGGTATGGGAGAAGAGCACACTTTGTGACACCTTGAACGTTTAATTAAATACCAAATAAATATTTATAGTTATATATAATTGTGAGTGTATGTGATAATATATTATTAAATAAATAATAATAAATACAGAATCTAATTTGGCACTGGATTATCAAATATGGGATTAATTAGGGATTATTATTTGGGGTCAAATTAACAGAAATATGGAATTATAATACTAGCTGGGCCAAATTAAAGTTAAAGATAGTAAATAAATAAATAGGTTAAATATAATAAATGCCATTAAAAAAAAATATAGAAGTGATATCAGATATGGTAAATCTTTGAATTGATGATAATATCGGATTATATTGGATTTCCTAATCTAAATAATAATGAACATGTACTGCTAGACAAATGAATATCAGTCATTTGGGCTCTCAAGGTCTAAAAGAAGATGAGCCATCCAATTAGGATCATTTATCATCACCAGGCTGTGTATATATATAAAGGTGGGGTGGGGTGGGGCTGTGAAACGATTAGGACGGAGGGAAAAGAAAAAAGAAAAAAAAGAGAGGAAGCGAGGCAACAGCCGTGAGAAGTTAACAAAAATAAGAAGGAAATAGTAAGACTCAATCTTAAGATAAGTTATATTATACCTTAAGTTACCATAATGAATTTTACATATGTTTTAACTTACCATAATTTATTTTATACAAGTTGTATTTTAGTAGTTATATTCATACAAGTTATGTTTCATAAATATTTTAATTACGTGGGTTAATTTCTGAACTCTATTTGTTAAAATGAAACCCATGGATATGTTTGTTTAAATTTTAAAAAATATTTGACTATAACCTTATAAACAATTATGTTTTGTAAGTACCAGCACAAGAGTCCCACGTCTTGGGGGACTTAAACAACCATTGGCCTCTATTTGGCCACTTTGTGGTCCTCTGTTTGTCATGGATCCATTGACCTCTACTTTGATTGTCACTTCTGTGACCTCCGTTCTGTTCTGTTCTGTACCGTGATTATAGTTATTTATTTACATAATTTCTGTATTTCAGTTTTTGCCACTTAAATGATTTATTTGCCAGATTGAGTAATATAAATATTTTGGCCTAACTAACTATATGTGGTTATTTTGTACTCCCTATACTCTTGGCATAATATTTCTCACTCTGCTGTGTGCTTATAATTGTTACCCTTTCAGGTGACGAGATGTAGGGGAAACCCATAACCTCACGTAATGAAACCCGCATGAGGATTGATGTTGAACCACTATTGTGTCTTCTTTTTTTTTATATTTTACTCACTTTTATTCTACTCAGGGCCGGTCACTGAATAATAAATTAATAAAAGCCCTATAAATATATTTTCTCTTATTAAAATAGTAAAATTGAGTAATTTTCTGTTTAATTATTTTTATTTCCGCTTGCGTAGTTTAATTTGCTACAAATAGAAAAAGTTAGTAAGTTGCGATTCCAACCCTAAGCCCCTGGGGTTGGGTCGTGACAAAGGTGATATCAAAGCCAGGTTCAAAAAAAAATGCTATTTTAATTTAATCAAGAAGTTCGAAAAGTTATAAATAAATCTATAAATAAAACTATATAGCTAAATAAACATAATAAAATAAAATAAGATAAAATAAAAAATAATAATAAATATTTACCTGCAACGTTAATCATTTTGTGTAAAATCTCATGTTTATTCTGGTGATGTAGGAATGTCAGAGATTAACCTTGATGATGCGTTTTGGGATGAGCTCGGGGCCATTAATTTAGATGAGATTTTAGCCGAGCACCCCACCCCCCCTCACCTGAGGATTGGGGAGATTCAGATGACATAATCAGAGGACTGCATCCAAGCCTTGCCCAGTTGATGGATCGGTCAATCTATATACAGGCTGACCTATCGATATCCCACATTTACTATGGAAGCAAAGACGTGCCGATATACGTGGATGTTTTCTTGGACCCACTCGTGTCTTTGGCGTTGCCCCGGGACATGACCGCACGCACTATATCATAGGCCCTCTATCCCCAAATTTTATGGCCAGAAGGGGGAACGTGTACCCTGAGGACTATATTTTCACCACAATCCCTAACCCGTTGGAGATAATTAATATTCAAAATGTTGACTTCAATAATGACTTGTCATATGTTGAGACACCCGACTGGATTGTTTATCGAGCATTTTTGGGATACATACAGTCTGTCCCCATTTTCACAGTCTAGACAGTGTGGATCTGTTTTGGTGTAGTCCAGTTGGGATGGGAATTTGAGCTTTTTATGCAGCACTATTTCCCATGGTTGTTTGGCCCCTTTGACCCACTACTCTAGATTTGGTAGAAGGAAACCTTTTTGTATGCTGACCATGATGTGTTCTGACCCCTTTTTGTTATTTTTTGTTTTTGTTTACCACAGGGATGAGACACTAACATATTCTGACTTTTGAAACAAAGATGTAATATTAATTGTAAAAATAATAAAGTTGGCATTTTATATAGATATAGATTGCGCTACACATGCTTACATATACGCTGTGTTATGAATGTAATGCCTCGTTTATTACTTTGTAGAATAGCCAATAATAGTAACGGAAGCGAGTCATCAGTCAGTGGCACTGAAGCGATAGAAAGAATAATGGAAAGAGCGATTTCTAGCTTTTTGCAAGCCTTGCAAACTAACATCAACAATGAGATGCCGGAACGGCAAGAAGAGCCGGTTACCATAAAATAGTTTCAAGATCTAAAACCCACCACATTTACCGGCGGCCCAGACCCAATGGTAGCAGACGCTTGGGTTAAAGACATGGAAAAGATTTTTTGCGCCCTACCCTGCACCGAAAGACAGAAGGTAACTTTCACCACATTCACTTTCAAAGACAATGCACATGAATGGTGGCTTCTCACTTTGGAGAAAGAAGAAATTGCGACTTGGGCAAAATTCTTGGAAGTATTCTACAAAAAATACTTCCCAGATTCATTGCGGGAACAGAAGGCATCCGAATTCATACATTTAAAGTAAGGAACCATGACGGTGGCCGAATACGAGAGCAAGTTCATACAAGTCGCTCGGTTTGCAACATACGTCATCCCCACCAAAACTTGAAAAGCAAGAAAATTCGAAACAGGATTGGATGCTGAAATTACAAGCAAGCTCGAGGTCGTGAAACTGCCAACCTATGCAGAAGTGGTAGACCGGGTGTACATTGCAGAAAAGAGGATTAAAGCCTCGCGTTCTGGGGAACCAAGCCAAAAGAAGCGATTCTAGGAAAAAGATAACAGAAGACCCAGTGTTGCGCCTCCTAAAAAAGTAAATACGAGCACAACCAGTTCAGGCCATCAAGGTCCTACCAACCCCCGAGGTGGCACTGTTCCAATTTGTCCCACTTGTGGGAAGGCTCATTGGGGACAATGCCATCGAGACACAAGAGCATGTTTTAAATGCGGTCAAGTTGGCCACTTGCTGAGGGATTGTCCAAAGCTGACTAATCCTACAGCCAGCCTCTTTAGCCTAGTCAGGAAACCCGTAGGACCTGAAGGAGAGAGGAAGGACCAAAAACGTCAAGGACGGGCTTTCGCCTTGGTACCTGAAAAACCAAAAGTGACCGAAATTGTTATGTCAGGTACACTTTCTATCTGTGGTCATTTAGCTCATGTCCTCATTGACTCTGGGTCAACTCATTCTTTTGTTACACCGTACTTTGCTACCAAATTGGCATCAACACCCGAACCATTAGGATATATATTGTCTGTTTCTTTTCCTTCTGGTAAGTCTGCTTGTAATACTGATGTGTACAGATCTTGTGCTATATTCCTGAAAGGCAAAACCTTATATGTAGACTTGATTTCCCTCCGCATTGGGAACTTTGATGTGATCTTAGACATAGATTGGCTGGCTGCCAACCACGCATCTATTAATTGCAAAGCCAAAAAGGTCTTCCTCAGGTTACCAAACCAACCCGAACTTGTCTTTGATGGGGATGAAGTTTCCAACCCTCCCTATATTATATCTTCTATGACAGCCCAACGACTTCTAAGAAAGGATTGTGGTAGTTATATTTGTTATGTGATCGACACGCAAAAAGAGGCCCCCACTATTGATGCAATCCCCATAGTACGATAATTCTCGGATGTCTTTCTTGAAGATCTACTCGGTATCCCAGTTGGTCGGGAAATCGAATTGAAACCCAACCAGGCACATAACCAATATCAAAAGCTTCTTATCACATGTCGATGACAGAATTGAAAGAGCTGAAGACTCAACTCTAGGAACTATTAGACAAAGGTTTCATTCGGCCTAGTTCCTCACCTTGGGGAGCTTTAGTATTGTTCGTAAAGAAAAAGGATAGTACGATGAGATTATGCATCGATTACCGGGTGTTGAACAAGGTCACCATCAAGAATCGGTACCTTCTGCCGCGAATCGATGACTTGTTCGATCAACTTCAAGGCGCCCAAGTATTCTCCAAAATCGACTTGCATTCTATCTACCATCAGCTAAAAGTCAAAATAGAAAACATCGAAAAGACTGCCTTCAGAACCCGTTACAGACACTACGAGTTTCTTGTCATACCTTTTGGTGTCAGAAATGCCCCAGCAGCCTTCATGGACCTCATGAACCGAGTGTTCAAACCCTATCTTGATGAGTTCGTCATCGTCTTCATTGACGACATCCTCATATACTCCAAGTCACCAGAGGCCCATGAACAGCACTTGCAAACGGTTCTACAAACACTACGTGATCACAAACTTTATGCCAAGTTAAAGAAATGCGAATTTTGGATCACTAGTGTACACTTTCTCGGCCACGTCATTAACAAAGATGGCATCTCGGTTAACCCTCAAAAAGTTACAATAATCGTGGACTAGCCACGACCTACTAATGTGTTAGAATTTGAAGTTTCTTGGGTCTAGCTAGCTATTATCGACGCTTCGTGCAAGATTTCTCAAAGATAGCATCACCCTTGACCCAGAATGGACTGACAAACAAGAGCGTTGCTTCCAAGAATTAAAAAGTCGATTTGTGTCAGCTCCTATACCAGAACTCCCTACAGGAGCAGATGGGTTCGTAATCTATAGTGATGCATCATGCAATGGTTTGGTTGCGTTCTCATGCAAAACGAAAAATTCATTGCTTATGCGTCGCGACAATTAAAGACTCATGAGAAGAACTACCCGACTCGTGATTTGGAATTGGCTGCGGTGATCTTTGCTTTTAAAATCTGGCGTCATTATCTTTACGGTGCAACCTGCGAGATTTACACTGATCACAAGAGTCTTAAATATCTGTTCACACAAAAGGAACTGAATATGAGGCAACGGCGGTAGCTAAAATTTATGAAAGACTATAATGTAGAGATTCATCACCATCCAGGCAAAGTTAACGTGGTGGTACGCGCACTGAGCCGAAAGACGACTAAAAGTTTGGCATGTACTCTCATTTCCCGCAAGATCAATGGACTACTCGTCAACATAACCGTGAAACCCACATTGATTGAAGAAATTAAAGCGCGCCAATGGGAAGATAAACTTTTGAAGAAAAAGTACGAGGAACAAAGGAATACGCCTGACCCTAATTTCACTATAAGCAATAGGATACTGAAATTTTGAAATCGAATTTGCATACCCGACATCCCGAAACTCAATAAGAAGATACTAGAGGAAGCTCATAACTCGAGATTTGCAGTCCACCCTGACAACACAAAGATGTACCATGATCTGAAGGAACACTATTGGTGGACGAGAATGAAAAGAGACATAGCAAGCCATGTCTCCAAATGTCCGTATTGTCAGCGTGTTAAAACAGAACATCAAAAACCTGCAAGACTACTGCAACCACAAACTATTCCTGAATGGAAATGGGAACACATTACTATGGACTTCATGATCGGGCTACCACAGTCATTTTCGAAGAATGATGCAATATGAGTTATAGTAGACCGATTGACGAAGTCGGCGCATTTTCTACCAATCAAAATCATGTACTCCCTTAATAAGTTTGTCACTTTATATATCATGGAAATTATTTGTTTGTGTGGTATCCCAGTTTTGTTCGTGTCTGATCGAGACCCTCGCTTCGTGTCTCACTTCTGGAACAAATTACAGAAAGCTTTGGAAACCACACTGAAATTTAGCACTGCTTATCACCCACAAACCGATGGACAATCCAAAAGAACAATCCAGATGTTGGAAGACATGTTACGTGTATGCGTGTTGGACCTCAAAGGTAGCTGGGATGAGCACCTATCTTTAGTGGAATGCGCCTATAACAATAGCGACCAAGCAAGCATTGGAATGGCACCGTACAAAGCTCTATATGGAAGAAGATGTCGATCACCTCTGTATTGGACGGAAGTCGGGGACAGGAAATTGTTAGGCCCCGAGATGGTGCAAGTCACAAGTGAGAAACTCCAACTCATCTAACAGTGAATTCACACTGCTCAGAACCGCTAGAAAAGTTATGCAGATACTCGGAGACGGGACTTGGAATTTCAAGTATGAGATCATGTGTTCCTCAAGATCTCACTAACAAGAGGAGTGATCCGATTTGGAAAGCGAGAAAAGTTAAACCCACGTTACATCGGGCCATTCGAGATACTGGCAAGGATTGGTCCTGTAGCCTATCGCCTTGCACTACCACCTAAACTATCCAATGTCCACAATGTGTTTCACATTTCAATGCTTCGACGGTACCTTCAAGATCCAGAGCACGTTGTTGATTACGAGGATCTGGAAGTTCAGGAAGATCTCTTATGAAAAGCAACCAATGCAGATTCTCGATCGTCGTGATTAAGTTCTCCGAAACAAGACCATACCGTTGGTAAAGGTCTTATAACGAAATC